CTGTCTACAAAGTATTAAAATGCAGGAATGCAGGTTTGTAAATTGAATTGCCAACTTACCAGCTGAGTGGTAAGTTGTCTTTGGCACAGGATGCCACAGTTTGATTCCTGGCTGGATTTTTACTCCTGTGACATGAATATTAAACAAGGAGAGCCTAGCTACGCTTGTTAAAATTGGCAGTGTAGCACATACCTACTTCTAGATATAATGTATATAAAATAAATAAGATGGCCAGAAGTTTCAGAAGATGAATCTCAGCACTTTCTGGAAATTGGAGTCCTTTACAGTGTCACATTGAATTTTTCAAAAGCACAAGGCACTTCTGAAAACTTGATGAGTTAAAAAGTACTGGGCCTTAAACACATACAGTGCTCAGATTTAAGTATTGTGCAGAGACCGTTCTGGGTAGATGGATTATGAGGGTGGAAGTGCCACACTGTAGGAAGGGTGGGAAACATCGATGGGAGGGGTTGTTCTTATTTTAAGTTATAGTCTGCTGTTGCCCAAAGATAGCCGAGGGTGTCAGTTCTGTTTCCGTGGATGAAACGAGCAGGCTTTTTGTTAGACTGCGAAGATTTTTGAAGAAGACCTTGAAATGTTAAGTCTGGCTCTTTGTCAGCGAGTGTTGTGGCTTGAGGTTAGAACTATGGGACTTGACAGAATTTAACTTGCAGGCTCTGCTGCAGGATGCTGCAAATGAAGAAATAAAGATGAAAAACAACACCCTAAAGATCCAGCTAAAATTAATGGAAATAGTAGAAATGAAGATAATTGCCTAGATGTAGGTAGCTGGTCTGTGTCGTATTGCAGCAGAGAATAGTGTGTTCCAGCCTGCTGCCCAGAGGTGGAAGATCTCGCTCCTGGGAAGGGAGGCCTCTGGCATAAGCAGTGAAAGATTAAAGAGGCTGAAAAAGTGTTATCAGTTATCATCATTCTGCGTATCTGCAGCACAGGTGTCAAGCATTACCTGCTGATTTGATGCTTGATACCAAATATAAGGGGCAAATAAACCCCCAAATTTTCTCAACATTCTGTGTGGAAATCTCAGGATATTGAAGAGAGACTGGGAAGTATGGGATATGTTCTGCGACATGGCTGCAGAGGATGCTGTGAAGAGAGAAACCAGGTTGCCTAAGCTTTTGAGCTTGAAACTGGTGTCTCATGAATTGCCCATGACGACCCCCAGAACAAAACACTAAGCCTTATATAAGGGGCAGAATTTGAAATGCCATCTTTTTGCATTACTTGCTAATACAGCTAAAGGGGTTGAAATGTATGTGTAGGCATGTAGGAAAGAGGTAAAACTGTGAGGAAGCTAATGGTAACCTGAGGTTTTCTCTTTCTTCTCCAACACTTGACAACAGAGATCCAGATTTATCATGTGAAGATGGGTGATAGCTTGTTGTGACAAAATGCTAAGCAATTTGAAGAATGTAGCAGCATTTTGTCATATTTTAAGGGCATGCCCAGATAACTCAGTATGTCAGATAAATATATGAAGTATTTGGGCTGATTTGGGTAAAATTGTCTTAATGGGTTAGGAAATTAAAAATCACATTATTCTGCACCTGTGTAAAAGGGGAAATGTAAGAAAGAAAGGTGCTAGTAGAAGAGTCATATCCTTAATTTATAGGATTGCAGACATGACAGTTCATCTCTTTTGTCAGTACGCATAAATATGTATGGTGAATGAATTAGTTTAAGAGAGATTTTTTTTATGTTGGGAAACTTCAGGGGTTTTGTCTCTTTCCCATCATCTTTCAGTGGGAGGGGAG